GCAGGACGCGGATTTATCATTAAGCAGAATTTAGTCATGTATATAAGAACTTGCGTGATGCGTGCCGCATTTCTGTCAATGGCTATAAATTGTCTCGATTAGAAAAAAAAATCTGGGATTCATTTAGGTCGCACAAGAATATATTGACATAGAATGCTGTGAATTTTTAAAGATATCTTTGACTAAAGATCAACAGATTGAATTGTGTGTATGTGTGTGTGTATGTGTATGTGTGTGTGAGTAGCTTTTTCAAACATCATGTATTTTTAAAACTATGTTCTCATGTTGATCCATAGAGGAGAAATTAGATTTCTTTATTTCGATTAAATTGACATAAGCGTTAAATAATTGCGCCATTAGTAAAATCAATTGATTCTACGATTCGTTTATTTACGAAAATCCTAGAAATCAATAGAAGTCTTTACAAATATAAAATGTGCCAATGCAGCAGGTATCACGCGTAAAATAATGTGCGAATCGAGATCGCATCGTTTTCAAACCGAGTCATTTGATATCACTAAATATATATGACACTGTACACGATTGCATGCAAACACAATGCCATCACATTACATTAATCCTGATTTCTCGATCCGACATATTGGGGATCGCGACGGAAAACAATGCATATATGTGTATGTGAGAACAACATGTATATATACATATATATGGGAAGAAGTTTTGTATATCTGTATAATTTCCAATGCGTTCCGATTTGTTTTCCGATACGAATCTCCGTAATAAGAGCAGGTTAGAAATTTTGTATAACTGTGCAGATGGGATTGATCGCGATGGGGACCTAGATCTTGCAGATGGCGAATTGGATGCATACAGAGACAAGAAGAGCGCCAAAGAGCTTAATCAGCTTGAAGTTGCCATTGGCGATGGGATGGAGTTCACCATTCATGGTAAGCGTATCGGAAACAACAAAAGTATAATCTCTCTCTGATAATAATAATAATAATCTTCTTGTCTTGTACAATCAACAGAGATATTATGTTAAAATGAATATAATTTTATTTTATGAACTTTTTTGCACTTCTTAGTGTTTTGCTAAGATAATTAGCAGAAATTGTTCCGTAATGAGCTTATAAATTTCTCTTACGACATGGGAATTAAAAGAGTGTTATGCAATTTTTTTTTTTTTGCCTTAAAGACCAGGAGACATTCATATATATAATCTCCACTATCAATCAAATTTCGCAAAACGAAAGATATTACTGCAGCGCGATTAATATATCGAATTTGCTTTTCTTCCTAAAGGAGATTTGAAAAACAAGCTGAAGAGGGGCAAGCTATGCATGAACAATACGAAGGTTATCGCGAATTCAATAAATCACCACGATTATAGGCTCGACAACGATTATATTAATCAGAACGAGGATGATACCATCAGGTCGGTTAACTTTTTCCTAAATTATTCATGCTTCCCGGATAATATTGTCAAGAATATTTCTTATTCGAGTATCTCTTCAACAGTAATAAATCATATGGCAGCCACAAAAACCGGGCATTTAAGGACGAGAGTCACAAAGGCAGTATGGACTCGTTAAACGGCGAAGAGAAGAAAGATGCGAGCAAAGAAGATCTGGATCAGGAAGAAGGTAGATCTGATATATTGTAATTTTGAGATTTATATAACTTTGCTAAAATTCTTTGAAAATTTGAGAAGGAAGATCATCGAAAGAAACTTTTTTATTATGGAACGTTTATTATCGAATTGATGCATGAAAAATTTGTAAAATTCAGATTTAGAAGACGAGTGCGAAGAAGGGGACGAGCTCGACATCGACATTATACAAGCGGACGAAGATCCTATTCAATCGAATTATCCTTCCGACTGCTGCCCGGAAAATTGCTACAAGAAATTTCCATTCCTGGCCGGCGATGACGACGCTCCGTTTTGGCAAGGTTGGGCAAACCTGCGATTGAAGACCTTCCGGCTGATCGAGAACAAGTATTTCGAGACTGCCGTCATCACCATGATCCTTCTCAGTAGCTTGGCCTTGGTAAAATTGTTATCTTATTTCTTTCTTTTATTGTTCGAGAATTTATCTGGAAAGCGATCAATCGATCGGTGATCCCAAACGATTTACAGGCTTTGGAGGACGTTCATCTACAACAACGACCTATCCTACAGGACATATTATATTACATGGACAAAATATTTACTGTGATTTTCTTCCTCGAGATGTTGATCAAGTGGCTGGCTCTAGGATTTAGGAAGTATTTCACAAACGCCTGGTGCTGGCTCGACTTCATCATCGTCATGGTAAGTCACTTTTTTTTCTCTTCAATATCGTAATTCAATTATGAGAAATGTTTAATTTTGTACAATGTGTGCAATTGATGCCGCTCGAATAGCGATGATTCAATGTCTGCAAAGATTTCCTCAATAAAGGTTTAGACGCATAAAATGAAGATCTCGACACGATAAAAATTCAATTGCACACTTGGCGAATAGTTTATGAGAGGAATCTCGTCGTTCTCTCGAATGACTTCGTACACGTGACAATCATTCATCGTATTGTCTCTACGTCGTATATGAATTAACGTCACTTGAGAGAATAGTATGAAATACAATATCGTAGCAATCTTATGTTAACAGCAGTCAACAATCTCGGTCATATGTCACGTAATCGTGAAAATAAATCGAAGTCATTCGCGATACGAGGTCGCAGAAAAATGCGCTTGTCCGTGCTTCGATAAAGAGAGTTTAGATATTTATATGTAAAGATTAAATATAACATACATTTTGTGATAAATATAAATAATTGAGTATTTTAGAGATATAAATCACACAGAGTGTGATTTCGTCGCACGGATAATATGTTCCGTTTTTTATTTTATCTCTCCCCCTTTTTTCTTTCTTCCCCTTCTTTCACCCCTCGATCATCTAATGCCGATGTGCGAAGCGGTGGGAGCCGAGCGTGGAAGCTTCCGAGGTGGATTTCTCTTAATCTCTCGATCGTCATTAAGTATTATTGTAAGAACTAACGCAAATTATTTCCCGTCTGATGAATGTTTGATGAAACTAGCTATCACTGATCAACATGGGCGCAATCTGGGCCGGCGCAGCCGACATCCCGGCCTTCCGTTCCATGAGAACACTGAGGGCCTTGAGACCTTTACGAGCAGTCTCACGGTGGGAGGGCATGAGAGTAAGTCATCGGTCGACGAGGACTTAAAAGCGAAAGAAATAAAGCAAAGGGATTGAGCCTGTTATCGCAACGACGTTTGATGGATCGTACGGAGCTAACGGATCGATCGATATATCACGATAGCACGTTTAATTTGTTCGAGCCGAGCGGAGCTCCGATTGACGAGGGACTGCCGGTTTTGCATGGATTGTTCCTTTTTCTCTAACTGTCTCTCTCTTTCTTTCTTCCTCTCAAAGTAGTCGTGACAGTGTCATGGCGATAGATCGGTTACGAGTCAAGACTACTCAAAGTCGTTTTATAGAATCGAAGGTTTAAGCTTTGACTAATATCTCTCTCGATAGCAAAATACAAAAAATTATTTATTTTTATAAGATTTTTCTATCCTCATATTTGAATTTTTACAATTTTTATTTGACAAAAATTGATTAATTATATTTTTAAATTTATGTAAAATATATTCGGACCTCTTTCCTCTATTTCCCTCTTCTCTTTAGTTTCATTCTATTCACGTAAAAACGGTATCGAGAAAGAATTAAATATGTATATTAATGTTCTGAATACGGTCAAGGCGGAGATCGTCGGATCCTTTAGAACGAGCTGGATTTATCTCGACTCGATTCCGATCTATTGCGAATTCAATGATCTCGATGGAGCACGCTATCGATCCGTTGGACGCGGTACGAAGCTTCGGCTTTGGAATATTCGTTGTGATAAATGAGAACGAGATGAAACGGAAATAAATGGGAAAGGAACAGCTACGGCGGGTGTAGCTTGTGTATTACGGTGTACTATGGTGTGCTTACCGGATGTGCAGAGATACACTGGCGTCTCTACTTGGTGTCTGCACTGATTCTGGAGTCATTGTCGTACTAGCTAAAGTCGCCTATGTACGCCTTTTTTTAAGAGTCTCTTGGTACCAGTGATCGTTGTGCAAAATATACCAGTATATCTATATATAATATATATATATATACATATACATATATTATATATATGCTTTTTGTGTAGTGTAAAAACTTCCTTGTATGTATGTGTGTGCGCGCGCGCGTGTGTGTGCGTGCGTATGAACGCCATGTGCGTCAACGCGCGCGATATGTAATATGTTTATCTCAAGACATGTTATATTTTTCTTAGACCATATTACGACGCCCCAATGCGAGTAACGTCTCCTTTTCAAAACTTTAATAATTAAGATGCAAACACGAATGTATGTATTTTCATATATTTCTTATTCGTAATTTTGCTCGTTGAACGCAACGACTTTTGTTACAAAGCATAATAAATTAAAATGAGAGACTCGCGTGGTGCGACGTGATCGCAAGTATGACAAACCTTTTCGTCTGTTTCAGGATGCAGCCGATAGTATTTGCTCGTAATGATAATCCCTACCGAGCTGTTTGTCGTTCTATCTCTATCTCTGTCTTTGATTGTGTGTGTGTGTGTCTATATACATATATGTGTGTGTATATAAATGCATATGTCTTTCCACGTACAATATATATATGCACATACACACAGTCATGTATATCTCCTGATAATTGTTAAATGCTATATGTGCCGTACCTGGAATCTCTTTATGCCTCTATCTCCTTTCTTTATATATTTGTCGTACCATATTAACGTAGTCTTATTCTGTAAGTACCGTTACGCATCCTTCTCTTATAATTTTCGAAAATATCAAGCCAGTTTTTCACTTGTGATATGCATATGAAACACATAAAAATATCTCTCTACGCGAAACATGATCTATTTTCTGGAAGCGTTTAAAATCTTTGTGCCTATGTGTGTTTCAAAGTAATTTAAACATTATTCAATAGTGAAACTTCTTGTTACTGATAATTTTCTATACATTTTACATTTATTTAAATATTATATATTAATTTTTACATAAATTTTGTAAAATCATTCAAAATAATTTTTTTGTTATTTTGTATTTTTTTGAGTATTACGAAGAGAAAAAAAGGATGTAAATATTATACTTTCCGCGATATTCTGTTATTAAGTAATACACATTTCTTATTTTATATATAAATACTCAAGAGTGGCGGTATTTATGGAAAAGTGATATACTAATGTACATATGTGAGTATATATACATCTCTATATAGATATAGAAAATGTCGGCTCTCCACAAATCGACAGCCCCCCCTCCCCCCGAATTTTCGTCTTTGTACAGATGCCCAAATGTCTCGATCCGTCGAGGAGTCGAAGGAACGCCAGTAACACGTCGATCTCGGCCATCTGTCTCTGTTTGACTTTCTTCCCTTCTCTCCTTTCTCCTCACCCTATTTATCCTGTCCATCCGGAACGTCCTCTCCATCGGAATTGATCAAGCCTCCTACTCCTCTTATCCACTCGTCTGTCTACCTCTCGCTGTGATTCGCTCTCGTTTCTCGCTCGCAGGTATCGCTCATTAACTTCGTAGCGTCGCTCTGTGGCGCTGGCGGGATTCAAGCCTTCAAAACAATGCGGACCCTAAGGGCCCTAAGGCCGCTCAGGGCGATGTCTAGAATGCAGGGGATGCGGGTATGTAACCCACCGTCTCAGCAGACCTTGTCACTCGCTATCTACGTCTGCCGTTGATGACGGCAGAGTCGAACCTCCTCTCCCCCTCCCACAACGGCACGGCACTCTACAATATCCGTCCGTCTAGCTCTTCAGTTCCGGTACCAGTTTTGGAGCAATGTACTCCGCCGTTTGATTATGTTAATCCCGCGAATACGCCGGAAGAAATGTAATGGTATTTCTTGGTAATCGCATCGAAAGAATGTCCGTTAGGACAAATATCCTTTGATACGAATATCTACTTGTGTGATCATTATAAATAATTGTAGTATAAAATATTATTGCGAGGATTATATATAAATATGAAAGTAATTGCGCGATATTCTGAGACAGTTAATGATTGATGGATCTTATTTAAAATTATGATATGACATATCTAGAATAGATATTTGAAATATCTAAATTTTCTGATATTAAATTTGATCATTTGTCGACTACAAGGAAAACAAACTTACTTTATATTTCTGAAAGATACAAAAAACAGCCAACCAAAGTAATGTGAAATTTCTGTCTCTGTGTGCGCCATGTGTTACGTCATTGAACCTGTTTTATTGATTTTTATTTACAATCTTTTATAAATCATTGTTAGATTATATTTTGCCGTTATTTCCAATTCTTTTCCTTTTATATCGCAAGCGCGATATCGATACGTGTACTTTATTTGATTAAATTCTCGCAAGTGACTGGGAATAATGATTCTCAGATTGTACGGATTCGAAGTCATCAACGTTTCCCTTCTCTTACACGAGAGATTCGATAGACAGACCGATCGACCACGTTCATCAAGAGCCTGCATTGTTGTCAGTTATCATTTTAATAGTTGGAAGTCATGATGTCTTCGCTATCGTACTTCTTCATCAGAAATGTTTAATCTGAAATATGTAGATTCATTAAATGATTGTTATGATATTTAATTCTTATTCTATTTCTCAATGTTTTTTAAGATATATTCTTTATATTCTTTTAACAAAATCGATATTTTCAGAAATTGTTTGTATATATTATTGCAAATGCAAATATGATGACGTTCATTGAGTGATTTTTATGGAATATTAGCATTTTTACATAAAAAAATAATTTCATATTTCAATATAAAATTCAGGAACTTTGATGTACGACGATGTCGACTCTTGACAAATTGCGATATCGTCGGTGCTGTAATATCGAAAACTCTATACTACATTTTTCCTCCTGTTGCACGTGGATATGCTAAAATAGAGGCAGTCGCGCGAATGCACAGCAGAGCTTAGAAGTGCGAATGCGCGGAGCAAAACAGCGTGTAGATGATTCGTCCACGAAATCGGTCGACACACTCACGAAAACATGCACCATACATAAAAAGGACACGCGCTTTATCTCACATACATTGTCTTTGGTATACGTGTTGCGTCGTCTTCTTTATCTTCGCGAAGGAAATATCTTTTTCTGTGTAAAGTAATTTACAAAAATACATTCGAACGCGAAGATCGAGATGAAAGCAGCCCGTATATACCTGTATATACCTGACCTCGCTCCACAAACTCCACGATAGCTCGTCCGTTACATTCCAGAAGTTCGACGCATACAAGAAAAAAAAATGGACATCTCTATTCATATCGCATTTTAAATATAACTGCCGAATTATGAAGTTCATTTATCTGATTATCAGACAGTTATATTTGCGGTCGAATATATGCGATATGAGTGTACACACAGGGTATACTTTTATTCGTCTCTCACTATACACATGACGCGACGTAGTGATAGCTCTCGCCCTTTTTATCGCCATGATAATAATCAAGAATATACGTATTTCCTCGCAAATACTTATCATACTTTTATCACATACTCGCAACACAAGGTCGCTGAGACACTGGGTGTAGTAATTACTGTCATGCCCACGCCCTGACACTTCTTCTATTTTACAGTAGCTCGCTGCAAGGCGCTCCTTGGGGCGTTCAACATTTTATTTTATTGCCTTTTGGTTTTGCACGAGACCACACGAAGATTCTTGAATTTATAGGATTCGTATTACTGAATTTATATGATTTATATATTTCCTAGGACTCTTAATTTGCAAAATATACGCGAATCTAATTAAGAAAATTCTTCAAAGAATAATTTGCACAATTTGTGCAAGTAATTTTAGGAAACATTAATTACGCGGATCGAAAATTATCTAGAATTTTCAGTTGCTTCTCTTCTTTTTCAAATATTATATACTGAATGTCCCCTAAGAGAGGAGACAGAAAAGGATTATATTTTTGAAAAAAAATTACAATTAAGTTTCTAACTTCTTTTTGAAAAATTTTCATCTGCTATAATTATCAGTTGCGAATACTTAATATTTTGACATAAATACCTTAATAATTATTTACCTTAATACTTTAATAATTATTTCTCAAACAGAAAATTAAAAAGATGAGGTTTTATTAGCTAATAAGATATATAAAGTATATAAAATTTTATTTTTTTTAAATATAGAATGTTAAAAAGTTAGTTCAGTATCCAATATCACTGTGTTTTGAGGAATTACTCAATAAAAATTGTACAAATAAGGGAGCGTTATGCATATATTTTTTTCTGGGATATTCTGTATATAAACTGCTTTGCTGTAATATCTGTAATGAATTGCTTAGTAAACGTGAAAGCTAAATGCTTGCTCGCTTGCTTTCGTCAGCTTTTTGTTTGTGCTGCAGCTTGCATCTGCTTTACATGTTGAACTTGCCTGTGGCTGCTTTCTTTAATGTACCCAAATACCTGTAGATATAAATTACATGATACGCATATCACACAGTCACTGATCCACGATCACTCAAAATCACATTCACACTAATTTAATAAATGATTATATATTAGTTTTAATCCTTTTTACTTAAATTGCATACACACACTAATAAGAAAAAATAAGATAAAATTAAAATACGCGCAAATATCTAAGTCAACATTTATGTAATGATTCGTATATATGTATAATTAAAATAAGCAAATTATTTAACAATGAATTCTATTTCTATCGATATAAAAAAAAAAATGATTTCTTGGTGTGTGTATGCAAATTGAAAATCGCGAAGTATTTTAATCTTCTCTACTTGACTTTTAATTCACTGGTTCACATCTGCTTACAATACTCATATGTTGTGTCTTTTGACATGATCAATAAAAAAGATTTACTTAAAAACGCTTGCAAAGTCGAAATGTCACGCACAGAATTAAGCTACTGCACACAGAAACGCAATATATATAAATAAATATTATTAATTTTTTTTATTATTATATATTTGTGTATTAATATCAAATTATAGATTTTTTTTTTTATAG